CTGCCCAACCACCTGGAGGTGGGAGGAATGAATGGGAGACACTGGGGAGTCAGTCCTCCCACTGTCTGTGGCACTTGTGCATCATGTCTAACCCACCCGCTGGGATACAGCCGCCCTCTTTGAATAGTCACGCACTGCTGGGTTAGGGACTGTCAGTCCTTAATGGACATTGCCATGACCTGGACTGAAGGGAAAAATAACCATAAAGTGGCTTAAAATTTTAACTGTGAGAAAATTATCTTCCAGGTGAAAGTGCTAACCGCCAAATAAAAATATGAGAACCAGGAATAAATGCAAGATGTCTGGTTAAACGTGAGCAGGAGCAATCCCTCTACCTTGTTTTGCCTTGTACCCGCCAGGGGTGGGCAAGGTCATCCATTGAACCCATCTATCCAAAGCAACTGGAATAAAGTGACACAGAGACCGTTTGGGTTTGGAACTTAAAGCTCCCTTCAAACCAATCTCTTTTCCTTCCCTTAGGAGGGGGCAGGTGGGAATCCAGCAGTTCCCCTTCTCCTTTGCACTCAGATTAGGAAAGGAAAGTTATTCCAAGAAGGATGTTCAGGATTAATATTTTAAAAATCAGTGAGGAGTAAGGTTAATTCTAACAGATGGTAATGGATGAAGAATGAAAATCTCACTATTTCTGAGTTCTTGTTATTTTTTTAAGCTCTTCATCGTCAAAGTTTTGAAAGTTGATTTTTGGTGTTAGTTTTAACGGATGAGTGACATTTCTGGCTCCTTGCACAATTTTAGGAGCAGATAGATCCTTGCTACCTATGTAGGGCCCCAGACTTGAACATATCACAGCTATTGGAGTGACTCCTACAGTATGGGTCTGCTTTGTTCGTGGGAAGGTCTGGGCTTGAGCATTTTGGGTTAAGTGTTGGTAGTTAAGAATCACCAGATAACAGGACTCAGATTCACTGTAGTTTATTCTTTCATTTCATGTTCTTTCATAATTCATACCTGTAGATGTATTACATACAGAGATATTGTGTTCTTTGCTGTTAAAGAAAACTTTAAAGATATTTTCCAGTAGATTTTGCAGTAGGCAAATGTCTATAGGCTATTAAAGGGTTTATTGAATGTCAGACATTATGTCCAATGATTTGCAAGTGCAGGATATATTTTCTTCATAGTCCTCTGAAATGTTTGACGGGTTGTGTCTTAAAACTGGTGATGTGCTGTTAAATTCTGTTTGTAGTTTGCATTTAGTTTGCATGTCAATTGGACTTTAAGTAGAAATACAACTCAGTGTGGCCAGATGGTGTCTGGAGTTTTGGAACTCTATAGAGTATGGGGAAAGATTATTGGGCTGTTAAGGGAGATATGCAGGGGAACAAAGGCTTACGGATGTGAGCACTGGAGGGGGATTGTCAGTGCGGTTTAAAGTGAAGGGAGATGTACGTGGGCTTTGATTATTACTCATCATAATTAATATTGGTGTGGATCATCATATAAAATATATAGTGAATCATAAGGCATCACAGTTGTTGATCATGATATACTCAGGTTAAACAGAAACAGTGTGGGAGCTCTGAATATATAGGATTCTGCCTTTCGTGGCGGGCGCGGTGGTGTTTTTATATCACTATAGTCAAATTGTATTGGAATAACATAAGTTGTATCAGTCAATGATATTTTTATTGTGGGTTCTGTCATACACCAAAATGGTGGCTGGCCTTCTCATTTAAAATAGTTAAGATAGAGCCAAAAGTTAAAAAAAACTTTTAGAAATAATTAATGTGAATAGCATATGGTTATGACTAGCTATATGATTATGTTATTTTTTACTTGTACCTGAATTTTTTAATGAGATTTTTCTACATTAAATTTAGATCAGAAGTTAGGACATGTTGTCTGGCAGAACAAGTCCTATTTTTTCCTCAAAAAATGATTTTTGGATGCCCAAAGGTAACTAGTTTCAAGTGGTCTCTGTAAAGAATTCTTAAATGCAGAATAACCTGAAACAGTTTTTTCAGTGTATTGGTGTCTTGGTCTTGCTTTCATTGTAGTCATTACTACACACAACAAGTAATAATACACATGCGGAAATAGATGATAATGAAACATGAGAATCCAGTTCTTGCAGCAGTAACATCCCCTTTTTGGCAGTGTCAGGATCTGCAAGTTGGTCCAAATTAATTTTGTACCTCCTTAAATTGTTTTATATCCATAGCAGAAGGCAATTTAAAGTGACTTTTTGGAAATTAAAACCTCTGGCAGCCATTTTAATCTCTCATTGCATGTTCCAGTTCGCAGACTTTCTGTACGGTAGTCCCGTGGTGTCTATATAGTCCAACCCACAGCTTCCTGTATTCAAGAAGTAGTCCTAATATAAAAATCTAGTCTCAGTTTGCTGTGCATGTGAACTAATAATAGTAAGAGGACCTGGTAGGAGTATATTGTCAGATTAAATTATTAATAAATATTTGATGTATTGGAAGAACATGCACATATCTGCATGTTTTGTGTTTTTTTTTCTTCATTGTTCTTAATAAAGAGATCACTGAATTTATGCACTGTTTTATATTCATAAGTAATACTCTGTTACTTTCCAGCTC